TCATCTGCGCAGGATACTTGGCAATTCGAGGTTTGGTCGCACAATGCATTTGGGTAAGATAGCAATGCTCCGTCATGCGCAACAGTGAAACTGACCGAAATAGCTTATTAGGATATGCATTCTGGGTCCTCGTCCTCGCGGTTGGCATCTCCCATCGCCTCGTGCGGCACATCTTCCACGCGGTAGACATTCGGGCAGGGCAGTGGGCGCGACCCCGCGTGAGATGGCTATGGATACCGCTAGATGGAATATATCACTGGTTGCAAACTCATCTTGTGGTACCGGCCCCATTGTCATCGCCACGGCGGAAGCTGCTGTGGTGGACGTTTCCTACGCGCATTGAAGCAGTGACCGTTTTGTTGTTCTGGGTATTGAGCGTTGTCGTCTGCACATTGGAGTACCGGCCAGTTGAGGGAAATCTCTAGTACGTTCCTCAATTTATGGACACGATGCAGCATAACTGACGGTATTCAGTTGGCCTTCCATACCAGATCAAATTATGCGCTATGCCGCTGACCGAACCGGTGTCTTGTCTTTCGCCAATCTCCCGCTGGTGTGGCTCTTTGCCGGACGCAACAATATTTTCATTTGGGCGACAGGATGGAGCTTTGGGACGTTTAATCTGTTTCATCGACATGTTGCGTGGATTGCTACTGTCCAGGCTGTGGCGCATACCCTCATCTACCTTGTTATCATGTACCAAAGTATGCTCCTCGCACCGATATAGCCCCAGGCATATTACTGACAATGTTACAGAAGGCAACGTAATCAGAAAGCTTCACAAGCCGTATCTGATCTGGGGAACACTGGTTAGGCTTCAGCCAAACAACTGCTTATTTCGATACTAACACATCACAGGCAACCGTCGTGATGGTCGCTATTCTTCCCTTTGCCGTGCAATGGTTCCGCCACCGGTTATACGAGACATTTTTACTGCTACACATCCTCTTCTCCATTGCTCTTTTATTCGGTTGCTTCTAGTCAGTGCCTCCTCACCTAACCTCATCACATCCACTAACCACCGTCCTAGCCACACAATTATCTTCGAAGGCCACGACTACTGGAACTACCTCTGGCCAGCAGTAGCCATCTGGATCGTCGACCGATCCCTGCGCCTAATCCGCCTCATCTACTGCAACATCCATGTGCGAGCCAACGCAGGAAAAGGCGTCCAGTACACGCGCAGCACAGCAACCTACGACCCATCATCCGACGTCATTCGTCTAGAAGTGACCCCGGGATCAGCTCACATCCGCCCCTCTCCGGGAGACTTCTATTATCTCTATCAGCCCTTCCGACTGACCGGTTGGGAAAGCCACCCATTCACACTGGGTGCATGGTCCTACGACAGGCATGACCGCATATCCACCTCAACAAAAGTCAACGAAGTAGACATAGACGTCACCCAAGTACCCCTCCTTTCCGACCCATCCTCACCAGGCACAAACACCCCCGACGAAACACAGCTCAAACACCCACAACACCAACACAACCGCCATATCCAGCAGCAAATCCCCAAATTCATCTTCTGGATCCGTCCGTACGACGGCTGGACCCGCTCCCTGCGCCAGCAATGCATCAACTCCCCCGATCTAACCACCACCACAACCATCCTCCTCGAAGGGCCGTACGGCAACCACTTTCCACTGTGGAGCTACGAATCCGTCCTTCTGATAGCGGGAGGAACGGGCATAGCAGCCGCGGTACCGTATATCCAGGATCATATTGTACGGTCATCTACCGAGTCAGAGCAGATCCTTTCTTCGAGTAGAAAGGACGGCAACACGACACAGACGAAGGATATGCGTCTAATATGGGTAACCCGCCAAGAAGCATTCGCGCAGCAGGTCGCAGTGAAAGAATTAGCGCCTGCGTTAGCGAGGGATGATTTCCGGGCGGAGTTTTATTGCACTTCGTCCTCAAATCCCGCTCCCGCCAGGTCCGGCGATGACGACGACGACGGAAGTGATACAGATACAGACCGGCGAAGTAGCCGCGACCATTTTTGGAAGGGAGACACTGGGAACATAAATTTTCTTCCCGGTCGGCCGAATCTGGAATCGCTCGTCCTCGATCACGCGCACGAAGCCCAACTCAGTGAATCATCTGCTGTGGTACTGGTATGTGGGCCTTCCGCGTTGGCGGATGAAGCGCGTGCGGCGGTGCATTTGGCGATGAGACGGGGGTATAGGCGTATACGCTATGTGGAGGAGTCATTTAGTTGGTAGGTTACTTTTCAGGATGAGGTTACGAGGTTATGAATATTGTTGATATTTTCATTGCAATGGAGTGGAAATGTACATAGTTATGGGCTCGTATATCTACAACATGGCGTTCATAGACTGAATTTCAACTGATGACTCAACTGTCCATCTACGACATGTATCTCTGATTCTCTAGCCAAGTACATGCTATAATTTCATTAGGGCTATTGATACATGTCCGACGGTATGCGACAGCCGAATCACCATGAAATAATTACATTGTCATTTCACATCAATCTCATACTACTCCCTTTAACCCATAACTGAACAATAACCCAAACCCTCATTCAATAAGCACCAACAACACATCCAACTCGCAAACAAACAGACAGCATCCTTACCAACAAGTCAACGTCACCTTCTCATCCACCCACCTCTCCCCACCCCCAACCACCACCTCCCGAAAAACCCACTCGCCGACATCCGCCCTCGGAATCGTCCATCCCACGGCAGGTTTCTCCCTCTCCGTGCCCACACGAACTTTTTCAAGCCCATAACCCGACCCCAGCATATGATCCCCAGTCAACAAGCTCCCTGGCCTGACGATCACCACTCCCCGAAACAACTCCCTCGCCTCCCTCTCGGCCAACATCTCCTCCATCATCCACTTATCCGCATGCGGCACATGCAGCAGCCCATGATACACCCGCCGCAACAAGAACGGCACATCCAACTGCCTCTGGCTCGGATCGACGCCCATACCAGAGAGAACGGTGAGGAGCGGCCGATTTGTTAGGTTCGAATGGAGTAGGAACTCCGGGTATGTGCTGTAGATATCCCGCAGGGCTGTGAGGAGCGCCCGCGTCGCTTCCTCGCAAATATGCGGCTGGTCAAATTCGAAGGCCCAGCCGCGGAGGTGCCCAGTGGCACCGATACCTGAGATGATATGGGAGACTAGGGTTGGAGTAGAAGAGGAACGTTGTAGGAGAATTGTGTTTTTCACGGCCTCTGGGTCGGTCGCATTGCCGGTGTTTATATGGAGTCGGGAGTCAAGGGTCTCTTGGTTTATGTTCTGGCTACGCAGGAGGGCTATAAGCTTGGATGGACTGCGGGCTAGTGCGACGGCGTGGTAGCCATTATGTAGGGTGTGGGCGAGGCAGGCGTTGATGCAGCCGCCTGTGGCGCCGAGGAAGGCGATGGTTGGTTTGGACATGATGTACACCTGAGGAATCAAGGTTAAGCTTAATGGGGAAAAGATAGCGAGGCAAATTAGTCGTGGACAGGTGACAGGGTGATTAGATCTTGTCAAGGTCAGTCGAGGTGGTGGGTTTATATCTGCGGCGAAGGATCAGAAAGTCTCCGTCGCCAGACGGAACTGAAGGAAGAAGATGCGCTGGGATCATTATCCTCCCGCAGAGGGATCGATGACCGTGGCTGGATCATCCACTTAAGAAGGGGCACGTTTATTTGTGAGAGGTAGTGTGTTTGCTGTGATGGACCGATACAACGCTTCTGCTACTTGTGTGTTATGTGTTCTGTGTTCTATGATATTTAGGTAGGGTTCGGCGGTGCATGTGAAGCCTTCTTGGTCCACCAACATAGGTGTCAAATGCATGATGTATAGCATACCTAAAATATTTCTATTGTGCTCATTAACTTGTAACTCTACAACTGGTGAACAATATATTTGATAAATTCAATGCGTGTCAATGTATCCCCTTATGGCTGTAACAGTTATGGATACTTTGTCTGTGGCAGCTGAATGATAATTTTAATTTTATAAGATAATTAAATAAAAGAATAAAAGTTATATCACTGTATTCCTTGTATAAAGTAATTTTAAATAATATTATTCATAAATCTATCAGATATTATTTGATTGTTGTCCTGTTACAAAGATTCTCTACTACTATGGTTGACCCCGGTAATATTGTTAGTACGGTGGAGAGTTGCAGGGATTTGAATCCTTGAAGCGGTAAGTCTCCCATACGGCACCGCCTTCTTAAATCGCCATGGTGAAGCCTTGATTAGCAACGCTGAATGGCTATATGAAGTATTAATAATCGTATGAACAGCAGAAAACAAAGGATTCAGATCCCTGCACCTTCCCACTGTACTAACAATATTACCGGGGTCAACCGTAGTAGAAAATTAGTATACTTAACTTTCTTTTCTCTTTACTTTTTATTATGTCTTATTGGATTTTTCAAGGCATTTCAATATATTTCTATATAATTACAAGGTCTGAATCTGTTTTTTAAAAAACACTTAATTTAAGTATTTTATATACTGAGATCTGAGCTATAAGGATTCTAATGATTTCTGGATATAGTAACTGGAGTATTATTATATCAGATTTATTAATAAGCTTTTTTAGAGGGGGTGGGGGGCGGGGTTATAAAAGAAAATTTAAAAAAATAAGATTAATACTGATCTTAATTACACATTAATTATAAAAGTTATTCACTATAGGAGCCTACTGGGCAGGGCTATATTGATTGTTTAAATTTTAGACTATATTAAATATATATTAAGAACAGCTTAGCGTGGTCTGAACAGGGCAGTAAGATAACTAGCAGAATATTAGACCACATTCACCTTTTTTCAGACCATGATGAGCTGCGACCCGCAGTGGGGCTTGCTACATGACTGTCCCGAAACAACCTAATTGATGGTGAGTCAGAAGAGATCCTCTGGGTTAACTATCGCAAAAGTCTGCACTGTCTGTTGGTAGCTTCTCGCAATCCTGGTCTATTAATTTCTCCTTCTATTTCTGGGCATCCGGAAATCCTGAAAATGCCTCCCTCTCATGCACCGTACGGCAAATGGACAAGCCCACTCACCGCGGACCGGTTGGCAACTGACAGCATTTCGCTGCACGAAGTAGTCGTTGATGTATGTGCTCTGTTCACTCAAGCTTACTTGGTCTGTCGCTAACAGGTACAGGAGTCAACTGGTGCTATTTACTCGGTGGAGTGTCACCCTACCGAAGGTGGTCGCTTTGCAATCATCCAACATCTCAACGGACAAAGCCGGGACGTCTTACCAAGAGATTACAGTGCACATGCAACGGTGCAGGAGCTTGGAGGCGGCTCCATTTTGATGAGGCCGAATGGAAGGGTTCTCTTTTCAGACGAGAAATCATGCAGTCTGTATTTGTTAGACCCGGCATCAAGTGAAGTCGCTCTCGTGCATTCGACAGTCCAGGGCGTTCGATATGCCGATTTCTGTAATCATCCCGTCGATACGCAGTGGGTGCTTGCAGTCAAAGAAGACCACCGAGATGCGACCCCTGAGACCCAGGCAACCGATGTGCACAACACTTTGGTGGCGATTGACATTCTCTCTAATACAGAAGTCACCATTGCTCAGGGCGATGACTTCTATTCGCATCCTAAGTTTGATACGTCAGGCAAACATGTCTCATGGATCCAATGGAGTCATCCTGACATGCCCTGGACAGGAACTGTGCTTTACGTAGCCGAGTGGGCGGGTGGATGTCTGAGGAATATAACCAAGGTCGCTGGGGAGTACCAGAAAGAAAGCATCGCTCAGCCGAAATGGGGGCTGGATGGAGCACTGTACTTTGCATCCGATCGTACTGGCTATCTGCAGCTCTACTCATACAACGTACACGATACTTCCGTTAGCGCTCTATATCTGGAGGGCCTGGCGAATGCAGACTTCGCCGCTGCCGAGTGGGAGCTGGGCAGGTAACTCTTCCGTCGTTTGCCAGTTGATCAAGGAAACTAACATTCACAGTTCCACCTATATATCACTCGACGAAAAGACTATGGTGGCGACAGCTATTACTCATGGCACCAGTGAGCTTGTTCTTATTGACATCCCCACATTGTCGGTCCAAAAGCTGGGGCTTCAGTACGTGGACATCGGAGTTCGTGCCAATGGTATTTTCCGCGCTTCATCCAGCTCCTTCGTTGTCGTCGGCGCCTCAACGAAGTCTCCCCAGGAACTCAGTTTGATTTCGCTTACCTCTTCATTTGAACCGATTACAACCGTCCTGAAATCAACAGCATCATTCAACCTGGCACCAGATTACGTTTCTGCCGCGAAAGAATACACTGCACCTCAGAAGTACGGTCCTAGATGTGACGGAAATGTACACATGTTCTACTTCCCCCCTTGCAATCCCGAGTTCGAGTGCGACGGACATCTTCCACCTCTTTTAGTGTACGTCCATGGCGGACCAAATGGATGTGTCACTCCCGCGCTGAACCTAGAAATCCAATACTGGACCACGCGCTGATTCGCCGTCTGTGCCCTCAACTATACCGGTTCGACCGGTTTTGGGCGGGAATACCGAGAACGACTTTCCGGGTACTGGGGCCTCGTGGACACAGGCGATGCAGTTAGTGCCGTGGAATTTCTGGCTAATGAAGGGTTGATCGACAAAGCCCGCGTAGGGATCTACGGCGGCAGTGCGGGTGGTTACCTTACGCTGCAGGCTCTGCACATGTATCCTGATGTCTGGGCAGCAGGAGTCAGCTCCTACGGCATCAGCGACGTGAGGGCACTCCAGGCTGATTCCTATAAGTTTGAGAGTCAGGATGTGGACCGATTACTATTGAGCAAGACTGCAAAGGAAGACAAGGAGCAGGAGCTCACAAATCGCAGCCCATGCAATTATGCCCACAAAATGAAGGCCCCACTGCTGTTGCTGCAGGGGACGTCGGATATGGTGGTTCCTGTGGCCCAGGCAAGAATGATGGCTAACGCCATGCGTGTGCATGGACGTGTCGCGGAAGTTGTCGAATTCGAGAATGAAGGCCATGGGTGGGTTGGCGAGAAGACCATCTACGAGTCCTACAAGCGGAAGGAGGATTGGTGGACACGCCATTTAACTTGAGTTCAAAATATTGCGTGACATGCGATGAATCAACGGACTTATTCAATGATGCACTTTCTGGGTAAAAATCTCTTTAGCGGACCTTTCCTTATTATTGAGTGTGGCCATAACTAGTGCTGATAAGTAGAATCTCCATCTGGTGATGGGTACGATCAGCGGCTCAAAGTATTACTCTTTCGATGAGACTACCAAGTCTTTTTTGTCCACCTTCATATTTTCCTTCTGAAATTTCCAGGGCCCCTGAAACATATATGTGACGAAGAATGTGCTCCAATAAGATCAAGCAGCTAGTAAAATCCCTGTCAAGACTATCAAGGCGAGATGCGCCGTCTCAAGACCGTTACACAGCCACCACCCTCTGACCATGATAGAGGAATCATCAGCGTCATCCTAGGTAGTGAGAGAAGCCTTGATGACCCAGATGACCATAAAACAGGCCATGGGATAGGCCCAATCGGACGGAGACCAAGAAGCAGCCGCTGGATTAGAATAAGATTGCAGCCTCCACAGTGAGAAAATGATACGCAGGGTCCAACCAAGCACTTTGCTCTTGGCGGAAACCTTGTCTCCAGGGAATCCATCCGAAATTGCCAGAACGGCAACACGGCGCTGCGACGATCCCCTCAATATGAGCAAATTAGTGAGCCCACCAAACACGGGGACGGGAGGATTAGGCTGGCAATGGGTCCCTTGAGCCCCAAGAAGGTGGTCGATCCCAAAACTAGAACCTCTGATAGAGCCGCAATTTGCCTGGAGACAGTTGTCTACCAACAACGCAACGTGGAATATGAGCTCTGGCAGCCACCAGTCATTCTAGTGGCATATGGTTGGCTGGCCAAGAGTACCTCTTGCAGCCAAAGCTTGCCTTGGCTCCAAGGTAAAGGATAGGGTGTTCCATGATATCGAGATGATCATAGGAATTAACGACGGAATGGATTGTCTTAGCGTGGAAGGGCAACACAGGATGGAGCTTTAATACCACGCCTCCACCGCATAGCATTTTGGAAATAATGGTACATTTTCTGTGTAGGTGCATCCTCTTCGTTATACCTCTCGTCTTCCATCTCGTCCGGGAGTTGAGACCACCGTAATTGTTTAAGCCCTCTCATTCTCACCCCTCTCATTGATACACCCCCCAGCCTTGCTTGATGTGCAATTTCTGGACCTGCAATGCGCTTCTCCTTCTGGCAGGGGTCGTTCCGGCCGATATCTAATGCCATAATAGACCAAGATTCCGAGATGGAATTTCAAAGTGTAGCTAGTACTTATCATATTACGTATACTACTTACAAATATTGAATTGGTCTAAATGATAAATGATTAGGCAAACAATAATTCAGTCACCCAAGATATCTCAACGACGACTGATTCCCTTTTTGTCTCCAACTTACCTTAACTTGTATTCAGGAAAGGTATATTGTCAACACTAGCTCATACATATTCTTCTCTTGGCTATCAACGATATAATCCAAACAATATTACTGCTGTTACACAGCCTTCGACGGCTGCTGACAAAAATCACCGTCGTAGTACAGCTTGGACTGGTTTGTTGAGATGTGAGCGTCCATCTCCCCAGAGGACTACGCAACATTAGATAATGTAACCATGAGCATGGCTAGTAGAGGCAACCATGACAGCCAGCAGACCACCCGAGCCGGAAACCAGGCAGCTAGTTACATGGATGCCTACTCAACTAAGGAGTGCCGCCGGAACCAGTGACTTTCAGCTGCGTATAGCTCCTTTACACTGCTAAGGGCGTACTCCGTATAGTGTCCCTAGTCGGCAAAGTGGAGATGATGTTTGCAGTCTGCTGGCTTTGTTCATGCACCCAAAGTGCTAGTTAGTCGATCTCAAAGATCTATCTGCATTGTTGAGGAAATGATAGTCACCAGGTGGTCAGTGCTTGCTGTCGACACAAACATAATTCTTCATGTTGCGGACTATCTTGGGACTGACTTGTGGACCCACAAATGAGCACTATTCTTGACTAAACCCCTGTTCTAAGTAACTTGCATCTCTCAATCCAAGTATGGTTGATTCCACTACATCAAGGAAACTTTGTCTTGGTTCTATCTATCGGGCAGGTGCTGGAGATAGTATGTTCGAGTCAATGAACTGACATGAACACTGATTTATTAACCCGACGAGCATGCTTTAGATCGCAAATTTACCGGAAAATAGCAACGATAATTTGTTATTTATCCGAGTGCCACCTTCTACTATCTGACTCGAACATACATACTAGAAATTCACCTTGGCGATTTTCTGTGATATCAGATTCATCCGGTGGGTCACACATGAGATGTCATAAACTCATTTGTCTTTGATTTACTACCGATTCTGCATGCACCTACAAGTTGTGTGAGGTTCGGAAAGACATTTGCCCCAGGTGATACGTCAGATATGTCCCCCTGAATATCATGCATCTTTGTGGGGATTTGCCCGAACACAGCTCACTAATTCCGAACTGTATGCAGACGTTGCATAAGCGATTCATGCAGGAGTAAGTACGTTGGAGAGGACTTCACTACACATGTTCTGGATATCACTTGGATAATCCTTGATGGTCTCTCTGCCGAGACGTCTTCAGCACTGTAGATTGCGCACTGCCACCACCAAGACTATCTTCATGCAAGGAGTTAGTCTGACTTCTAGAAAAGAGTTTGTTGGATCCTAATCTGCGGTTGAAAGCTTCATCATCGCAGAAGATTTCAGATGCCCGTGATATCCCATAAAGGCTAAGGGGCATCCAGGTGCAGTCCAACAACTATAAGAAGGCATCTCGCGGCAATCCTTCCAACCCATCAACAACACAATCCGAGCTTTTCTCTAATTTATCTCACATATCATTCAAGGATCTACTACTCTTCTTTCCCTCTATCCAACCATCAATCGTCATGAAGTTCTTCGCAGTTGCTACCCTCATCGCGGCCACCGCCATGGCCGGTGCTGTCCCTCGAAGCTACCAGTGGATCAGCCACAACGACCGCTCAGAATCAGGACTCAGCAGCTCTCATGCTCAAAATGCCTGTGGAACGAACAATGTAAAGTGCTGTCAGGGTTTCAGTCCCGAGCATGGACTGTCCCGCCAAGATGAGAGTCGCTTCCGGGCCGGATTGGGCGAGGGAGTACCCGGCGAACTGCAGGGTGGAAACAACTGTGGCCCTTGTAAGTTGATCTCCTCAGTGTTTGCTAGGTATGGAAGCTGATCATTGTCTAATAATAGGCGGCAATGAAGAAGGATCTCGGAGCGTTGCCTGCTGCTCTGAAGGCGTGAGTGACCTGGATTCCTAACCAGGTCAGATGAAAGATAGTACTGACAATCACCTTGACACAGAGCAATAACCTCATCAGCCTCCCATGCATTGCCATTGGGCGCCTGATGTAAATGTCACTCTTCGCTGCGCGAACATTCCGGGGCGAATCTCTCGGCTAATGCTGGATTATGTACAGTTGGGTGGTATTAATGGGTCAAAAGATGATTTGTTGATGTTTGCGCGTCATAGTATTTGAATGTTTTGGAGTCCCTTACTCTTCTTTATTGGCTCTTTCTTCGTTAGTTGTTGTCTAAGTACAGAATCTTCCTCGGTCACTGGGGAGTCCGTTTATTCTATATGACCTTGAGTTGATCGAAGCTCAGGACTCGATATACCTTGTTTTGTTGATATAGTTTTGAGCGTCCGTGTTGAACTACTAGGCTGGGCTTTTGATTTTTGCCCAAGAGCTTCAATACTAGGAAGCAGGGCTCGAGTTGCGCAGAGCTCGAGCAGGACATGCCCTTGGAGAGTATGAAATCTTTATCGTCAGACCGATTGGCCTAGTGGTTTTAGGGCGTCTGTCTTACATAATTGAATCTCACAGAAGGTCCCCGGTTCGATCCCGGGATCGGTCATTTGTTTTATTTTTTACTCACATAACTTTTTGCTCTCATGCTTTTTTGATAGACTTTTATATTGATAGGTCTTTCTTTTGCTAGTCAGGCTGGCATTATGGAGCTCTTGAGTCAATGTTTCAAGTTTTCCTTCATCACTCTGTGCAATATACTTGCTGGGACACTTCGGGAGCCATTCCGGGCCAACAAAGCCCGCCTATAGTCAGTCAGTCCATTGCAATCAACTTACACAAGTACGACGAACATGATGTGCACATTGCGTGAACCTCGATATGTTGAAATCCAATACAGCAGGAATTAAGTTTTCTTCCCTCAATACGAGTTCAGTAATCCGTGGCTGGCTCATGTCAATTTAGTCATCCGGCCTCCACCGGAAGAGATCCCGTTCCCCGCGACCCCGGATTTTCTTCCTTCTGCATCGCCCCAGCTACTTGCTGTATCTCTGGGGTCTTCTGTCCAGGATCGCATGACACCCCAGATCCCTCCCCACTATGTCTAGCGTGCAGGACTCTCATGTTCGTCATTCCGACAGCTCTGGTCGCCCCAATAAACGTCGCAAAGTCGCAATTGCTTGCGACGAATGCCGTGCTCGGAAGGTCCGCTGTGACGGGAGACAACCCGGTGCGTATTGCCTCACTTGTGTGACTCTTCCGAGAGACCCAAGTTACGTCGCTAATCTCTGAGTGCCAAGTCTGTGGGCCGTGCGCAAAACGAGTGGACCAGGGAAGCCAATGTGTTTACACTGGGGAATTGGAGAAAAAGCGAGCAGTTCGCAAGTGAGTGCCCTTCTGGCTGCCTCAGGCACTAACGGGCTCCTTCCCGATTTGTCCACTCGAACTAACACTCTATTCATAATGGCAGTTACATCGAAAGTCTGGAAAGCCGGATCAAGCATCTAGAGAGTCCTCGTTCCTTCTATGACAGTGGAGAAGGAGGGCCTATGCAATCTTATGATGGCTCGGACCAGGTGCAGGTAAGCTACTCCTTGCTCCGTTGCCTTCCAGCATCGCAGATTATACCGCCTGTGAGAGGAAGTAGTATATTCAGGTCACACTCACACTTTGCAGCATCATGCCTCGCCCTCTTTGGAGGTGCCCGTTCGCCAAAACCGACCTAGGAGCATTATTTCTACAACTACGACGAATGCGGACCATCTTTCTCCGGCGCGAAGCACCTCACAATGTACACCCAAAGGGAATCCCCATCTTGTCACCAGGCACACTACCTATCAATCACCAGCCTCGCTGGATCAGTCGCTGCGACTGAAAGACCCAACGGACAGTGTCAATGCCATGATGGGTGCCGTGGAGGATGAACGTCCCACACAGGGCTTTTTTGGTAGCTCTAGTGCTGCCAGCTTTATCCGTCAAATCAAAACTGCCATAGATAAGAAGGTATCCTCGCCGAACCGCCACACTTCGGATTCGATTCTTGGGGTCGGTCCGCCTCCCAGTTTGATGGCCACGAAGAAGCCACGGTTATCCACAGTCCCCAACTATGTCCTCCCTCCACGAAAGACGGCAGATAGCCTCATGGGGGTTTACTGGGAGTTTGTTTTCCCACTATATCCACTCGTTGACAGCCTTCAGTTGAGAAGAGAGTATGAGATGATTTGGACTGGGGAGGCTCTTCAATCTGATGAAAACATGCTTATGTGTACCGTCAATGTCATTTTTGCACTGGCCTGTCAACTGGCTGACTTTATCCCACCAGAGGAGCGAGAGGCTTCTGCAGATGCATTCTTTACTCGTGCAAAGGACCTTCTTCAATTCAACCTCTGGAACACAGGCTCTGCTGCTCTGATTCAATGTCTGCTTCTAATGGCTCAGTATTTGCAAAGCACCGACTCCGCCCATCAGTGCTGGATTGTCACCGGGCTGGCTATCCGCAATGCCCAAGGCCTTGGCTTGCACCTTCCCCAGACGATCGCTCGTCTACATAATCCCCAGGAGCAACAGCTGGCTCGCAAAATATGGCACGGATGTGTCCTGATGGATCGGTACGTGACCTCAATCCAATCAGTCGTTCTGTTCAAATATTGACATCGTGTAGAGTTATATCCATGACATTTGGGCGCCCTGCCATGATCTCCAAGGCGTCATGCGGATCGGTCCCTCTCCCGGCTACGGTGGATGAGGAGTATATCCCTGCAGTTTCTGGGTCCGAGGTGACTCAGCCAGCAGACCGACCATCAGTCATGGCATTCTATGCAAAGTCTCTTGAGCTTTATGAAATCCTGAACGACATCCTGTTGAGTCTGTACAGTCCGACAACCGATGAAAGCCCAGAAAACATTTATGACTATTACTTCAATAAAGAAGCAAATCAGGGAGAGCGGACGATATTCGAACTCGACCGGGCACTTACGAAGTGGTCCCGAAGCCTACCATCACACTTGCGAGGTGAATCTCATCTAGGGGGCGGATATACAGTTTTCTACCACCAAAGTGTTGTATTGCGTGCAAGGTATGTTGCCTAGTATGTGTTAAATGGTCAATTGCCAAACTAACCGTCTTACAAGATTCCTTCACGTAAGGATGCTTCTCTTCAGACCCATCCTGTCCAGATACTGTACTTCACGTGAGATCGGGATTGCGGATCCAATGATTTCCCTACAAGACTCTTTTCCTCAGCGAGTTGCATTGCAATGCTCGACCATTTGCGTCAAGGTCGCGCAAGAGGTTATCGGGCTAATACACAGTAATATGCCCGCTGATGGAAGTTCAGGCCCTCTTCCTGCTTGGTGGTACAACATACTGTGTGAGTAGTCTAGCCCTGGTGAATAACTGTCAGCGAAGCTCATGATGTACAGACGTTTACACCGCTGCCACCGTCCTCATAGCTGGTCGTCTCTGTCCTGCTATATTAGAAGAGGTGACTGAAGCTGCAATCACGCAGTCGTGGGAAAACGCTTTGGAGGTATTGCAAAGATATCATAGCCACAGCACGTCCGCCCGGCGATGTGTTGCAGCTCTCGAAATTCTCTACGAACGGGTAGTATCCGAAGGGCCTCCACTCCATGACCACCAAACGAGCGCTTTCCCCACGAACCCTGCGTCTAATGGTCTCGGCGATCTCTCTTTAGGGGAGGGTATCAATTCAATACTGTTGGATAGCCTTGACTTCCCAGACTTTCAAGATATGTCATGGTTGAACAGTGTTCCCAGCAACCTCTTCTGAGCAAGCATTTTGATGGTGAATTCCTTTCTACATACGCAATTTGCAGAACAAACTTTGTTTCTTGGTCTGCTACACGAGAGTGAATTTGCAACTTGTTTCGAGCAAACCAGCTAATTACAGCATGATATCGGTCTAAGCAAGGCAGCTGTCGGAGAATGTAATGTCCTTTCTTGAAACAATTCACGACGTATTCAGGGCTGTAAGCCATCCAAAACAGAGCTGTTCAATTTTGCTGTTTCAAGTTGTACATCACTAATTATATAGTATAGGTTCTTCCATGCCATGACCACATCAGTCCGTAACATCATCTTGCATCTTCTGGTCTGCGCGCGTAGCCACGAAATGTATGGCGATGATTGGGAGAAGTGCGCAGACTCCGATGATAGCACACATGACACCAGCTGCACCGCCCAAGCCCAAAGTCTCGAACATATCGGGGAAATAGAAAGGACCGATCTGAAACTATTAGCGAAGAACCACTAATGCTTGGTGCTTTTTGACTTACAAAACCATAAACATGTCGAAAGACATTGATGCAGACGCCAATACTGGTCGATGCTTCCTTATAGCTGTCGATGGCGAACGAAATCAGGATTGTCGTTATGATTTGGTTTCCAAAACTGGCGATTGCTGCACCGACACATGGGGTCACGTTCCAGCTGGTAGCCTTCTGTAGCTGGAAGCCCCATACGAGAAGGCCGGCAATGACAGTGGCAATTCCAATGTATGAGAGCCATAGCCGGTCTGCGGGGCGGTGATATCCTCGTCTTTTATGCATGACTTGCAGAAACCGGTCTGACATAGGACCACTCAACTGCTCGCCGAGGACACACCCGATAATGATAGCGATGAACTGCAGACCAATTTGCTGCGAATCGAAGTCAAACTTCTTACCGAAAGCGATTGGCATTTCAACAACCAGAGCAATGTTTCCATAGCAAAACACTATAGAATGAGCGCATGCAGGAATCAGCACCCTAGACAGCCTCGTACAAAGAAGTGGCTCGATGAATTCGCGAATCTTAAGGGGACGAGGGTTGATCCGGCGAGGGATAAACTTCTGAACGAAGCGAGATCTCGCCACCACTGCATCAGAAGGACCACCATCGGTCGGAATGTATAGCGTTTCTTCACCCAAGAGCAGATAAGCGATGAACTGCCCGAAGTTCATCATGGCGAATATCCAGTAGATCCACTCAAACCCAATGCGCTTTGTGACAAAGCCCATGATGAATGGCCCACCTGGAGTTCCAAGGGTCAACATAAGTGTCCACCATCCAAGTTTCTGGGCTCGCTTCTCTGGCTCACACAGCTCCGTGATCACACCGCTGCCTATTCCAATAGGAGGAGAAATCAGGACTGCTGTGAGCACTCGAGTGACCATTTGTGTTCCGTAAGTAGTACAACGAGCTCCGCCGATATTGCAAACCATACTTCCAAGGACCGAAAACAGGAAAACATGGTATCGTCCGTAGGTAGAGGTAATAGGTCTCCAGAAAAGGGGACAAATTCCTAAGAGCAAGATCTGTATGGATGATCGATGTGAGTCGGGCGATCCTTTCAATATAAAAGGGGAAAGAATTGACGCTGTCAAGGGAGGAAGAAGTAACGATATCACGGACCTGGACAGAGGTAAGATAACTGGCTTGTGGCACGGTTACGTTGTACCTTTCAGCCATGATGTCGTAGGCCGGTATAATGCCGGCCGCCATGAAGGTTGCAGCCATCGAATGAAAGGCCACCATCAGGATTTGGGCATTTTTCTTCCAGACAGGCCAATTCTGAGGGTTGGTGGGAGAGGTATCTGTCCAAGAGCTCCT